CAAGTTACTTTCCTGTTAATGACTTTTCCCTTAGTCTACGATTCCCTCAAAAAACAGAGGCAGAACTGAAAATTTGTAGAGGTAGGTTTGAGAAACAATGTACTTATGTAAGGTGTGTGTTAACACTTAAGACAGAAGAAAGTTTATTGAGAAGGTAGACTTTGGATAACATGCTCCTTCAAAATAAAATAACTGTGGGGTAAACCTCTATATAGTCTATTTATTGTAATAAACTAGACACATTTTGTGAAATTTTAAAAGGTATTATGTAACAAAGCATGTGAGCAACTTGTGTAATATAAAAATTATTAAGAAATCAAAATTAGAGTACTTCAAATACATTTGTGTTTATTTCACTTTTGGATTCACAGTAAATTTTGACTTTAAATGAAACATTGTTAGTCAGTGTCTAAGCCTTGCAATGGAGGTGCAGATGCAGTTTTAAACTGTGCTGTCTTCTCTACAGTATAAGCACAAACTTCTAATTATGATGCCTTGGTAACTGTATTGACAATATGTCCCTCCATCCTGGATTTATTTTATTTAATTTTTGGCAATTTCTTTTTTAAATTTTTTAAAAAGAAATTTTATTTAAATTAAAAAGAATCTTATTTTACATACCAATTCCAGTTCCCTCTCCCTCCTGTTCTCTCATGCCCTCCAGTAACCCCCATCCCACCCTCCATCCACTCCCCAGGGAGGGTTAGGCCTCCCAGGGGGGATCATCAATGTCTGTCACATCATTTGGCGCAGGACCTAGGCCCTCCCCCATGTTCTTGGCTGAGAGAGTTTCCATTCATAATGAATGGACTCCCAAAGCCCATTTGTTCACTAGGGATACATCCTGGTTCCACTGCCAGAGGCCCCATTGACTGCCCAGGCCTCCCAACTGACACCCACATTCAGGGGTCCTGATTCTGTCCTATGTTCATTCCCCAGCTGTCAGACAGAGGTGCCTTGAGCTCCCACATGCTTGGGTCAGTTGTTTCTGTGGGTTTCCCCAGCATGGTCTTTATCTCTGTGCTCATCAAGTAAATTGCTTAAACATGTATATTCAATATAGGTTCATCTGGAAAAGTGAGTAGGTATGAAAACAATAGACAAAGGACAGAATTTTTATACTTAATGAAACTACTCATAGTCTATCTTCAGCTCACTGTTTGTTATTTCCTGTGTATATAAATAAAGTATTCTTTATGGTTTTTTTCTGGACTACACAGTATAGTTTATAATAATTTCCAGCTTCACAACAGTTTGTACAATCACATGAAATGATAATATCCATATATATATTCTAGTTTATATTTCACAAATAAGTTTTTCATTTTTCTTACTATAGAAGTAAGGTTTGTGACATGTTAAACTCATTTTTTAAATTTTACATTTGTAGTTTTATATAAAGCATCTTTAAAAAAAAACAAAAACTCACATGCCTTTTTTTAGTAACTAGGTTATGCTGGGTCTTGTACTAGATGGGGACAGAAAACAAATGTTGGTGAATGCAGGTGGGCAACTGTGCGTAAAAGTTGTTAAATGGAGACTAGGTCTAAATAAGTTACCAAGGAGTTTGGTAAAGAATAGAATTTACACATTTTAGAGAATACCATGAAAAATTAGGATGAGACAGTCTAATTCTTTTTTAGATAAGAGAGTCAAGAACAATTGGACTAATCAAGAAAAAGCACATAACGTGACTGAATTTTCAAGTTAATTTTGAGTCATGCACAGTAAAAAGCTACATGAATCAATAGGAGAATTAAGAACAATGGAAGTGAAAGAGGGACTTTGTGAATAACATCACATCTAACTGACTTCTGTGCTTTTAAAAATTCCATCACAGCATCTAATCTAGTTTATAATTCCAGATCCTTTAAAATAAAATCTCCAGTCCTAGCTATTCTCACTTTTTTTTTTGTTTTAGTAACACAATTGAACATTTTAAAGAGACTTCCTGCCGGGCATTGGTGGCACATAACTTTGATCCCAGCACTCAGGAGGCAGAGGCACAAAGAGGATCTCTGTGAATTTGAGGTCAACCTGGTCTGCAGAGCGATTGCCAGGATAGGCTCCAAAGGTACAGAGAGAAATCCTGTCTCCAAAAAACAAAAAACAAAAATAAATAAATAAATAGATAAATAAATCAAGAGACATCCTAAGGCTTTTTGCACTGTATGAACTTGGCTGCCAACATCTATATCTGTGCATTCTACCACTCCCAATTAACAATGGCACAGTCCCCATGCTCTGTGAAATCATGAACACATTGACTGAAACTAGTTGCTCTCCTATTGCACCAATTCAAAATGTAACCATATTTAACACAGCCAGAAGTTTTCTGTCTTCTCCACTTCTAAAATCTCTTCTATCTTTCCAAGTTCAGGTACACAGAACTATGTGAGTAATCCAACTCAAATTTGTTATCCTTTCAATAAATGACAAAATTTACTTTGTGAGTGCCCAGACAAGAAATCTTGGGGTATTCCTTGTGCCCCACTTTGTCAATCTCTGATAAACTCCAGCTACTTCCACCTAACGTATCTAGCGTGTGTGTGTGTGTGTGTGTGTGTGTGTGTGTGTGCATGTACACATGTGCGTATGATGTGTACCTGCATGAATGTGTGGGTGTGTGCACATGGGCAGAGCTAAAGAAGAACATGAGATGCCTTCCTCTGTAGTTTCCTTATTCCCTGAGGAAAAGTCTTCACCTGAACCTGCACCTCACCTTTCTCCAAATCGGCAGGCCAGCAATCTCTCAGACTCTGCCTCACTCTCCTCACAATCCTACGTTTACAAGCACAGATAGCCATGCTCAGTTTTTAATTCTGATATAAATGGAAAACACATAAAATATTTCCTCAATGTCCCCTTCAAGTTTCTAGCCTGCTCATCTTGAGCTAAAGACCTTGGGCAGTGGCTTCCATGTACACATGAAACAGTATGGTTCAGAATTTGAGAGGGATTTTATTTCTCCCAATGGAGCACTAAAGGGTGGGTAGGGCATGCAGTCTGCTTTAAATGTAGAGATAGCTCCTTTGTTGTTTGGACAACTTCCAATCATCTTCAACTTCTTGGTAGTCTCTAATAAGCTGAATTGTGATGTTCCCCATATTGATAGCATATTACATCTCTAGCAGAAGGCTTGTGGTAGTAATGAGTTGGGTAAAATCACAACTATTCATTTTACAATCATAATTTTCTAATCTCTTACTTAATGTGATTCATCTATTCATTGCAGAAAATGTAGTTCAAATTTTCCAGAATTATCAAAATGTCCCAAGCTAATATATGCAAATATAATAAAGTTGTGAATGGATAATTATTCTTACTACACACAAAAAAAATGTTATTTCTGACCACATGACAATGTTAGTCGTTAATTGTTTCCATTTAAAATTTTGATTTCTGTGAGATTGGGTGCTTTGTGTCTACATGTGTTTCACTTCTCAAAGGAGATATTCATCAATGTATGTGGGCATATTGATTTTTTTGCCTTTAAAAGAACAAGTGCTGTTGACATCTATTGGGTAGAAGGCCAAGATACTGTGACATGTCCTGCTAGTTGACATGCAATATAACAAGTAGCTTTTGTAAAGAGAATTGTCCAGACCACAATATCAAGAGTGTCAAGGCAGAGAGAGACTGCAGCAAATGACTACCACAAGATTTAAAATCTTTTCAGAGTATATGTTGCAAGAAAGCACATGTAATAATCTGGCAGTTGAAAGATATTAAAATCTGAAAAAGGAAAATATACAAAAGCTCCAATGTGTACTTAGAAAACAATTGCTTCATTATGAAACACATGTATTTGGTGAATTAAAATATTTAAAATTGCTCTCTCTCTCTCTCTCTCTCTCTCTCTCTCTCTCTCTCTCTCTCTCACACACACACACACACACACACACACCCTTATATTGCAGTTTAACCTCTGAAGTGGCACCTAACTCCCACCATGTGTTTGACACTGTTGTAAGTACTGTTTAGCATGGATTTGTTCACATATGTCATCTGTATTTGCTGTATTTGGATACAGGAATGAACTCACAGAGAGGTAACAATAAAATAAATTATTATTTCCTATCTCTTTCTGATTCAAATTTTCACCCACATGTATGTCTTCAATAATGTCCCTTTCCCTTAATTAATTTACCAAAATCTTTTCTATTTTATTGGGTGAGGGAATGTTTCACAAGAATTTTGATTTGATGCAAATTGCTAAATTGTATTGCTATGTCAATAACAAAAAATAGGAATTTGGAGTGGATGCTATATGGATTTTTGTGTAGATTTACACATCAGAATTTTGTTGCACTCAGAGGGAGTAGAGAAACTAAGACTGAATAGTGGTGAAAAATGAAGATGAGTGTTTCTTCCTTATGTAATATCAGTTCTTTGGAATAAAGATCAAATTAAACTATTGGGAAGAGTTTATATATACAAAATAACTATGCCTACATAATATGCCTATCTGAAATGCCCCTCATCCTTTTTATTCACATTTCTCTCCACTAAATAATAAACATGAGCAGACACCAGTGGAAATGTGAATGTTCTCTGTTGCCTTGTTTCTATGCCCTAGTTATTCTCTTACTTAAGTCATTTGTATCTTGTGAGAATGATCTGTGTTCTCAGTGTCTAGTCTCCAAGCCTACTAGTTCATACATTTTCAGTGGGGGTAATAAATTAACAGTGCATATCTATTGGAGATAATGTCCTTTCTTTGACTTAGGCTTTGCCATCATCTTACTATATTAACTATCACAAGACACAAAATTCTGAGTACGATTGGAAGAATGTGCACAATATTGACTCAGCTTCTTTCTGAATATACCAATTACTATGTAATCTAGAACCACCTATGAATGATTCAGGATTAAATTTTATTTCATTCTTTTTGCTTTATCAAGGCACACATATCTTGAGAGTTTTCCTGGGAAGAATTGATTAGACTTGTTCTTCTTCTTGGGTTATGTGTATCTTTTCATCCACCATCTTTAATTCTAGATGCAGCAGTGACTTCCAGGTCTTATGCAGAAAGCAATTCTATGTTCATTTGCAGTGCACTGGGTTTTACAGTGACCTTTACCCAGTCTGCACGCAGTCCTCAAATCCAAGCTACCATACTCAGGAAGCCACCTTTTGGCTGTAACAAGGAAAGAATGGCTGGAATTAGGAAATGATATATGACATACCCATAAGGAGAAAGTTCTAGAAACAAAAGATTATAGCGTGACTGTTCTCAGCTGCTGGGGAATGTTTAAGTGAATTCACTGTTGCCTTATATGAAGGATATCCTAGACTTCAGAAAGTATCATGGAACTAAGTAGGTGTCCACAAATGACTGGGTGATGGCTCAAGTAAAGTTCCTGAAGACAACGATGAATGGGGTCCTGATTTACGTTCTGTCTGGCTTTCTCTCTGCAGCTGTCCATGCCCTTTTCTACTCTCATAATTAATCAACCCTAGTCTTATACCTTATAAGGCCTTACTGAAAACTATTACCAAACTTCATTGCAACTTAATTTTAACTTTCAAAAATATTTAGAATTAGGCAATGGTATACATTTTTTCAAATGTTCACAACTTTTCCAGACACTTTGTGAATTTCTTTCCCAAATATATGAACTAAATTATATCTGTATGTAACAAAAGCATTGGTCAAAGAGAAAAGGGGAGAATAGGGAAAGGGAAGAGGGGAGGGGGAGAAAGCAACATACATACACACACACACACACACACACACAGAGAGAGAGAGAGAGAGAGAGAGAGAGAGAGAGAGAGAGAGAGAGAGAATATGCATTCATTTTCACCCTTATATGATTTCTAAAATTATTACAACACTTCTGAAAGAATAGTTGTTTAAAAGACATTCTTCAGATTTCTGTCTGTTGTGTTAAACTTGGTAAGGAATGAAATGTGCTTAGGCACCAAATCCACCCTGCCACTCTTTTATGGTGTACAGTTCCATTGGCACATAATTCCTTATACACTTTCTATAAATGCTTTCATATTTCAATGAGAGTTGAGCTTATAGGCTGCATGAAACCTGAAGTATTTACTTACTTTATTCTAGGGAAAAAGATGTTTACTAACTCCTGTTTTGCTTTCAATTCCTTTTGAATCAGTAAAAAAAGAAATGTTTGAAAAATTTGTAGCTGGAGTTATGATCAGATTCTACCAGTGTTGATATTCTGCCATGGTGAACTTTGTCATGTGTTTGTCTAGAATTGCAAAACTGAAATTAGAGTTCTTTTTTTTTTCAGACAGGATTTCATGAAAATCAGGCTGACTTCAAAATTACTACATAGCCTGGGATGGACTTGAACTCCCGATCCCCTTGATGCTGCCTCCCCAGTGTTGAGTTTATACAATTTTGCTACTCTAAGAGGTGGTTAGTTTGTATAAAATAGAAATAACTCTTGGGAGTTTTGGCAGGCCCTAGGGTAGGCTTCTCATCCTAAGTAAAGTTGAATTTGTGGTTGAGCAAATCTTTGTCTCGAGGGGCTTATTCTGTGCAGTGTGGGTGATTTAGCAGGCTTTCTGAACTTTATCCAACAGTTGCCAGTAGTACAGACTATGACAAATGTTCTCCAAGCATTTCTTAATGTCTTCTCTGGTGCAATGTCACTGCTAATGGACAATCAGTGTTTTAATAATACTGTGAAAAGACAAATAAATAGTCCTTTGTCTTCAATGCATGAATCACATATTGTCCTCACTCTGAAGCATCTGCTTATGTCTTTCAGAAGAATCCCTTTGCATTTCTTTATCATGAGAGAATCATTTGTACTGTTCTAACAGCCTCAGATGATAGAGCATGTCTTTAAGTACATGAATCTCAATTAATTTATAAGATAAATCTATACAGAATTATTTTCCAAATAATTCTTCACCTACAACTTCTTTTCATTTTTATTTGTTTATTTTATTCTTCAGATTACCATGAATGTTTGGGGGTATCAGGGAAAAAAGGCAATGTGATCTCTTTGATACAAAATATGCTGTCCTGTATTCAGAACATATGTCAAATTTTAAATAAAAATGTGCATTGATAATAAAAAATTTCCAATTTTTCAGAAAAATGAAAATAGTGGAACAATAAAAAGTATCACATCTCTAGAGTTTATATGCATTTATTGTGTCTAAAAAAGCAGACAAAAAGTTTCACAAATGGAATTTGTGTTGCATAGAAGTTTTAAGGACATTAATAAATGGTAGTATAATGATATTTCAGCTTTGAATAAGAATTTTCATGTAAATAATATTTAAGTTTAAAGACTCAGAGGTTGGGGAGGATCAAATCAAAACACTCTGGACACTTGTGATTATCTGCCCAAACCTGGGCAATTTCAAGCCAAATGGCCCTGCATGGAGCCCAACTATTGGCTGAGGAGCTATTGGCAGTTCACAGCTTCTGAGAGGAGTGTTTTTTTAAGAGTGAGTGTCTGGTTGGTTGGTTATACTCTGGTAGAAGTCTCCACACCCGAGTACATAGAAATCACAAATTTCACTCAGTGGGTTATATTTTCCTTATGTGTTTGTATGTGTGCCCCTGCAATAGTAGTTTATGTGCACCGCATATATGAATCAGGTGAATATAGAGGCCAGATAGATCTCTTAGATTTGGGGTTGTAGGTAGTCTTGAGCTGCCCAATGTGGGTGCTTGGAACCGAGGAACTGAACTCAGGTCCTCTGTATGAATGAGAAGCATTCGTAAGCACCAGTGATATATGTTTTTTTATTCAGTTTCTTTCTCCTACCATAATTTGGTGAACTACAAAGTAAAAGAAAGCCTATTAATTGCCTTTCTTAAAAAATTATAGTATGTGTCTCCTGATAGTGAAAAGAAAATAATATTCAGACAGTGACAATTGTGTATTTCATAGTATTTTTGTTAGTAATAATAAGAGTTCTCTATAGGATTAGTTCATGTATAATTTGAAAACAATCATACTCTTTGAAAGTAAAAGAAAACTACATAAGATTATTGACCCACAATATAATTTATGCTACTCTATCATTTAAGTGACTTATAATTTCTTAGCTTGTATTGCATGCAAATTTTTCATTTTGTTCAAGGAATGGATAAGTAACTTGGGTTACTAGTAAGGACACCTGAAGAGGTATGTTGTATATAGGCTTGAAATACATTTATATAATTATTTACTTGTATTAATTATTGCAGAAAAGATAGGCAAATGACCTATTATGTATTAGAGTCCATATGAAGCCTGTGTTATGTAATGGCTACTAGGCTAGACTGTTTAAAATGAATAAATGAGTTAATTTATTAATATAAAATAAATAAATAAATTGAAGTCAGCATTCTTAGTTTGCTTTGCTACAGTTAATACATACATATAACTTCATAAGAAGACCAATATTTTACTGTATACCTGCTGGGAAAAGGTAGTCCTTCAGAGAAATTTTCCACCAAAATACAGTAGGTGGTAATGATGAGAAATACTTAAAAGAAAACCATCAAGGGGTGTAATTGGCTTGTAATTCTGAGAAAAGAATACCAAAAAACACTTTACTAATACTCTATTATTGTAGAGTACAAAAAATAAGTTAAATATTCTAACACTGAGCTATTTATACTTTACAGTTGATAATGCTCAATACTAGTTTCCCAAAGAGGTATAAATCTATCAAGAATGAATAGTTGATATATATTTCTAGATAAACATAATAGGATGAATATGGTTGTTTTAATTTTAAACTTTGTGTGATCATTTTAGATTTTAACATATTGGAGTCTAAACATGGTACAGTCCAATGCCACCATGTGTCATATCTTGAAAATGAATGATAATATCCATAAACAGAAAGAAATTAATGTTAATAAAATATTATTGGCTAAACTACATTTTCTTCATATCTCACTGGGTTTTCCACTAGTAACCATTTTCTGTTGCAATTCAAAAATTCCATAGTAAATCTGGAAAAACAATATTCTCTTTCTTACTTTAAAAAATATTTTTAGGCTGGGCGTTGGTGGCTCACACCTTTAATTCCAGCACTCGGGAGGCAGAGGCAGGCAGATCTCTGTGAGTTCAAGGTCAGCTTGGTCTACAGAGTGAGTTCCAGGATAGGCTCCAAAGCAATGCAGAGAAACCCTTTCTCAAAAAACCAAAAAATAATAAATAATAAATAAAAAATAAAAAAAAATATTTTTAACAAACAGCAACTGATATCTTCATAAACCCATTTCTAAAATGCCCCTGAAAAATGCTTGCATATTACCTGTTAAAATTGTCACCCACAAGAGCAGAATAAAGAAAAAGAGATGAATCTTCATGGTACCGTTTCTTAGGCAAGAAGTGACAACTGATCTTTGAAACTGATCTTCCTTTGAAAGTCAGTTTGTTTTGCAATCAGGAAGCAATAAGCACTTTTATTTATAGATCTTCCTGGAAAGGATGTTTAACTACTGAAGCATGTAAAACCTAAAACTATTTGTATGCCTGGGAGAATTGTGCCATTTTCAAAGATTATATTCATAAAATTATTACTAGTAAATTTCCTCAGGAGAGCAAAACCAGCTTGGATTAGTCTTAATGGAACTTCCTAATAATCAACTTTTTGTGAACTGTTTTAATAAAGAATATTTGTTTAAAATGATTGCGAAAATGCTAATGTTGAAAATTACAGCTACAAGGCCCTTACTTATATGGTATTTGTTTGCTAACTACTCAAAGGTACCTATTATTAAGTCATTCAGTGTTGTTTCAGGACATTAGAACTGGATATTATGATTGAATTCTTGTGTTTTACTATTTAAAACAACTATAGGCCCTGAGACCCAGTGATTGTTTGAATTATAAGATGCAATCATTTGTATATAAGATGAAGAGGAATTCTGTATTCACTGTTGATTTGGGGGAAGACTTCCACACATTTTAATGATAGCTTATGAATTTTTTAACCACTACCCATTCAATTTCAACCTTCAAAATCTAATACTTTTCATCATTCATTTTATGGACCTGAAAGTGATGTCAGATTCAATCTACATGCTTTTAACATCTTTATTTTACATATGGTAAAATGAAATTGCTGGCAATTGACCCAGCTTACAGAAGATGATATTGTGAGAAATGGAAAAAGGGATTCTCCTACCACAGTGTCAGTTCAAGTAAAATACTGGGGCTGTTGTTCAATCAAGATGACTAGTTCAATCAAGATTTCAGAGCCTCCAGGCCACTTGCTCCATGTCTGATTTGGTAGTTGCAAATAGAGGTTCAGAATTTGCTTTTCTAATAAGACTAGGAAATATTATTGTTATGAAAATGGGATGTACATAACACTGGTAGATCTAATCCAATTATTCCACACAAATAATAAATATATGATAGAAAGAATAGAACAGATTCATAAAGATTATGGAGCTGGTTTGAGATATTTATCCAACCACAAGTGAGACAAGGGAAACAAAAATAGTTGAACTTACAAATCTGATGATAATACTTGTAACAAATGCTTCACACTATAAAATTATATTGGAAACTAGAATATAAAGCCAAAAGTCAAAGAAGGGGTTCAGGTTCTATGGAAGAATAGTTTCTTCCTGAGAAAGAATAAAGCATGGAGAAGTAATTATTTTTTCACTGGAAAACAAGTTCATTGCTGTTTTACCATGTAGCATTTAATATATGGATATTATGGAGTATTGACATTTAAAATTCACTAGTTTATTTCTAATTACATTAATTACTGGACACATAGGATACCATGAAAACATTTATACTTTGGAAAGTAGTGTACTGGTGTAGCTTGAATATAAAATGCAGATGAATAAAAACCTAACAGGAGGACATTTACCCATCCCCTTGCCATTGTTAATATTTTAAAGAGTTACAAAGAAATCACATACAGCCATCAACCAAATAGAACTAGAGTGATGTTAAGATGTTATGATAAACTTGGTTGTAAGAAAAAAATTACTATGAGAATTATGACATCATGTAATGATAAAGTATTAGTCCATCAATAGCATGTCTACATACATGTATACACTAACATACAATCCTTAAAATACATTGAATGTAGAACTGAATGTGGCAAAACTGAATGAAGAAATGAAGAGGTAATGAATATAATGATACTAGGAGCAGCAATGCTCCACTTTTAATATTGAATTCTGTAAGTTGAATTGGTAAAGAAACAATATTGACACATCAGAAGAATTTTCAAACCATCAAAAAGCAAAACACACACACACACACACACACACACACACACACACACACACACACACACACACACTAAAATATATATTCTTCTCCACAGGTGATGGAACATCTCTCAAGCAGCCAATATACTAGGACACAAATAGGTACAAACAAATTTTGAAATTAAAATTATGTATTTCTAATCAATCAAGTGTGTTAGAAATCAACAATGAAGAAAATTTAAAAGGTCATAGGCATCTGTTAATTAAACAATAAACTTTTAAATTGATAGCATTTTAAAAGTAGATCGAAAGGAAATAGGGAATACACTTAAGATGAATGATAAAATACTGTTTTAGGGTGCTGGACCAATGGATTAACAATTAAGAGCACTTAGAGCTCTTATATTCTGCCCAATGAACTATGTCCCTGACTATATAGAATATCTCACCGTAATTTTTGTTTTTAATACATGTGTATCACCAAAAGTAAAATGAGTCTTTTATAAACTGTATAAAATTTAGTCTTTTCTTTATTTATTCTTCTCTCATATATTAGGTTTCAACTGTAGTTTCCCTCCCTCCACACCTCTCATTCTCTCCCCCTAACATCCTCCTCTTCCCCAGGTCCAATCCTCCTCTAGTTCCTTTCAGAAATGAGCAGGCCTCCCAGGGAAATCAACCAAACACAGCACAGCAAGGCTGGACAAGGCAACACAGTGGTAGGAAAAGGGTCCCAAGAACAGGCAAAAGGGTCAGAGATAAGCCCCAATCTGATGGTTAGTGGTCAACAACAACCCAATCCTGGATTGTTGCTTCAGTCTCACTGAGCACCTATGACGACTGTTCAGTACTCTGTGGGCTATGTTCTTGATATATCCTTGAGCTCTCTGGCTCCTACAATACTTCTTGCTTCTCTTCCTTAGAATTCCCCTACTCTGTCTGTATATGCCCCCAACAGTTGCTGAATGAAACCTCTCTGATGACAACTGGGCTAGCCACAGATCTATGAGTATAGCAGAATGTCACTAGGAATCATTTTCTTGATTTTTTATGTGTAATTAGTGTTTGGTTCCATCTTAGGTCTCTGGGCAATCCAGATTCTGGTTCCTGGCCATCCGGGCATTGAAAGGCATGGGCACCCTCTCCTAGTGTGGGCATGAAGTTGGAACAGTCATTGGTTGGCCACTACCAAAAGTTCTGTGCCACTATTAACACAGCACACAATACAGGCAGGGGCAATTGTATGTTGAAATTTATGTGGCTGAGTTGATGTTCCAGGTTCACCACTGGAAGTCTTGCCTGCTTACAGAAAATGGATAGTTCAGGCTCCAAATTTACCATTACTAGAATTCTTGCTTAGTTACTTGTAGGGGAAGCTGCAGCCATGCCTACTTAGGGGCTGGCTACAGGTGTGCCTGACCACGCCCTTGCAAGCTTTCGAGGGCGTGGTCATGGGACGTAGGGTGACTGCATTTTCAATTTTGGTTTCTCTTTTGGGGCTTGTGTAAAGACTGCTGCCACGCCGGCTGGCTAGGTCGCTCTGTAAGTAAGGCTTTTCCCTATTAAATACCCTTATATTTCTACCTGACTCCGTATTGGTAATTTCCCACTATATCTGGTGTCAGAAGTGGGATTCGAACCCACGCCTCCCTAAGCAGGATATTGGAAACCTACACCACATTTGGGACAGGCTGTGGGTTCTATCCGGCCCGCGGCCTAGGCCCAGAAAGAGCCCTCTCTCCACAGGTGTTCCCGGCTAGCAGCCGACCTGCTGCAGCTGAGCTGCTCACAGACCCATCCACTCAGCTCGGAGACAGTTTCTAGCTGCCTAGAGTCAAGGTAGGCCTCGGCTTTCAGCAGAGGCTTCCCCTGGCTGCTGCTGTGGGAAAGCCGCATCTGTTTCAGTGGTTGTGGCCGCAAGGCCGTATGCTCTCTCAGATAAGCGCAGCCGCTTTTGTGACCTCTCTCCAC